TTCAGTGGTAATTCAATGTTTACAGGGAAAGAAAGTAACAAGAAATACAAAGAAAGCAAAACCAATTTAGTTGCTCATGAAGCACAGACTTTAAAAGGTTCATTTATTTACTGTTAATTTCCCTACCGCCCTCACACACACTTCGCTACTGAAAATCCACTATAATCAGTTATTCTGCAGGTGTATCTTGTTTAAAGGCCAAAGCCTGCAAACACTTGGGTAAATAAATCATAACATAGGAGAGGTGTCTGTATTGATTTTATTTACACTACGTATGTAAATAAATACCTCCTGGGCAGCCCTGTGCTTGAGGTATCAGAATGGGATGCATGAAACCCAAATTCAATTTTATGCTCTGCCAAATTGCCAGCACAACCTTGGGAATACCATTTAGCCTTTTTTTGCCTCAGTTTCTTGTCTGTGTAATGTGAATGATAGCACCTCTATACCTTGTGCGGGTGTTGGCAGAATAAATATACTCAAGATATTGAAGTGCTCAAATACTATAATAAATAGGTCCATATAAGCACCTAAGACAAATTTAATGCTGAATTTACTTATTACCAGGCACAGAATTTCCTAGTAGGACTAGTCTCATTAAAGTCAATAGAAGAACTTGGGGTAGCATGTAATATGTCTGGAAGCAAGCCTCTGCAGGAATGAGTGCTAAGCTTGTCAGTTAGTCCTTGCATTGGTGGGTTTTTGTCCCGGTTTTGGTGCAAGGAAAAGCAGATGCAACTTGTGATTTCCCCATGTCAGTTCAGACCACAGTGTAGGCCAAGGACTGTCCTAATTTTATCTGTTGCAATGACTCTTACAGGGCATTTCACATTTCAAAAACCACTGGGGTAGAAGAACACTGTAGCAATGATCCCACCCACCTTACTCGCCCAGTTTACTCACAATTTGCTTCCTATATTGAGGCCCACCACCTATCAATGATTCCCAGCAAGGAGTGAAGGGAGATTACACTCAATGGCATCTTTGCAACAATGTAGGAAAAGCAGCCATAGGGCAATACTAAATTAGGCCGCTAGTTTGCCTGTAAAGTACACCATATGCCCCATATGGTATAAGAATAATAAGAGTGGAATATGATTTGGTAAACGGTATGAGCTAATCTAAACTCTGTGAACAATCTGTTCAATGATGAGATGAGCAAAGCACATTTAAAACTAAATGTAAATAATTAGCAGAGAAACCCTTGCAGCCATTCACCTCATATGGGAGGGCTAAGGCAGTAAACTACATTCCTCCCTCTAAATGCCAATCTGTGCAGACATTTGGGAAGGTTAAATCTTGCACAAAAAAAATAAGGCTGGCCTTATATGTTAGTTCCCCCAAGAAGGTACACTAACTTAGACTGAGAACACGTTAGCCCAATCTAGTGAATGTTTGCACACATTCAGAGCACAGCCCCAGACCTTGGAAATCCCAGCCCTGGGGCTGTGATCCTCCTACCCCAACAACCCTGATCAGGCTATTTGTAGCCCCCTAACCACCCTCAGCATTTACTCTCCCCATCACCACCCCCCCACCACAGACCCACTAATCCTCCCTGCCTTCACCTCATCCCGCAAACCTGCCTGCCCACCCTTAGTTACTTACACTAGGTCCCCATGCAGCTCCCAGCACAACAGTTATCTGCACACACGGCTCCTGATCTACAATCACAAATCAAGGTTGTGTGATAGACTGGGTACAGTAAACATCTGCACATACCCTAAGAAATTCCAACCACAATTCTAGAAAAACAACTAAAATTGATACTCCGGTCCAATTCTACTCCTTTTTAAATCATACAGAATAGTACTTTTACCCTCTATCACTTTTAATATAATGGGATTAAGTCAGAGGCCCAGATAATAGAGCCTTTACTCATTTTGGAGAGCAATTAAGTGATACCAGGAACTACTTGTGTGAACAGCTGCCACGGTGCCTTAAGTGGGAAGGTAATTGATCTCCCTTCCTAAGGAAATGGTTTACAAAGATTAGAGTCAACGTAGCTTTATTTTACCCATTACATTCTCAGTTTAGTCAGCAAAACATGTATCGTTTACCAAATATGGTGAAACTAGAAAAATTACATTTCGTCAACAAAGAAACTGTCGTCCACAAAGATGGACAAGTTAGATACATGTTTGAATCTTATGAAATATTCTTAGTTTCTTCAGTTTGAACAATTAAGTAGTATTTTTCTACTATTTTCATTTTAGGTTAGGGAAGGTCAAACATACTATAGTCAACCCTAGTGAGAGTGTTGAAACTGCACAGTAATTACAAACGAAATTACATCAGGAAACAGTCTTTTTGTAACCCATCACAAGCTTTTACAATTCTATATTTAAGTGCCATTAACCTTTTCCAGTAAAACTATGTAGGCAGATTAAAAAATAAAGTACAGTATATTTTGGGAGCCACTCTTCCACATCCCTGCAACAAGTAATATTTAACATTAGTGACCTATGGTTTGACTATTTAATATGTTAATTGTATTTGTTATATATTGTAAAAACACGCACTCTACAAAGTACCAACAGTCTAAACCCAAGGCTGATAAAGTGGAGGCAAAGCAAGGTCTACTCTTCCATAAGCAGTACTACATCCTTAAAAGAGCTCAATGAAATGGCTCAATCAAACTCAGGGAAATCACTTAAAGGGTTAAAGCTAGAGGCTCCGGCTAACACAGCCAGCAGTGTCTAGTGCCAAGAAATAGAAAGCAGTTTCCAAGTTGGCAGAAGTAGCTATGATTCAATACATTTTTAATGCATTTTAAAATGCATTTAATTAATTTAAATGTATGTTTTTAATTTTTTTTCCACATTAAGAATTAGTTAACAAAGGGTGGGGAAAAGTCTAATGTAATACTAGATCATTTATTAAATTGTTGTACTACTGGCTAATCTTGATAGCCTACTATAAAAACCCAACCCAAAACTCTTATTTAAAACACTCCGTTAAAATAATTAAGGTATCTGTAACAGTTTGAAAAGGAGTCTTTACACAACTAGTCTTTAGAACAGAATTAAATCCAAGGGTTTGCTATAAAAACCTCATTGACACTGTCCTGGCTACAACAGAAATAGAAGCTCAAGAGTTTATTCAATAACTACTGCAATTTTCCAGGTTTCCATACAGAACAGTTAGAATGGTAACAAAGGCACACACCTCTGCCACACTTCAAAACCCAGGCAGTAGTCAACTGCTTAAAGGGCAAGAACCAACTATATGCAAAGAAGCTAAAGATGAGCAAGCTTCACCAGTCTAGAGAATCTGCTATACATCAGGGCAGATTTTATATTGTTAGCCAGGGTCCCAATGGTACAATCTTGTCAAAGAAGGTGAGATTTACAAGCTCTGTTCCTCAAAGAAAAGTTCCCTTTGGCAGAATCAGAGACACCTAAACCAGATATTACAAATAAATGTATTACTTTGCTTGAGTGAGCCAAGACTTTAATCTAGCAGGGTAGGAGACTTTTCCAAACACAATTCACTTAGAGATACAGATTAGTTCAAAAGCTAAAGCAAGTTGCATGTCACAACATTAAATCTCAAAATATATGGCCAGTTTCAAATACACCGACACATTCTGACACGTTTGGGCACCTCTCTGTGAACTGGACTGATGCAGACATTCTTTTACTGTTGTTTAACACACTAAGGATTGAATTTCTTGCTGCCGTCCAGCTCCTTGGACTAGCATATTACAGGATACAAGCAGCAGAAAGCGAACAAGCCTGGGAGGGAAAAGGAGGGGTAGTCATGTCTCCAGTTCATTGTGCTATGAGAAAACTGCTAACAAAGTATTGGAGTTAAGTTTAGGGAAGCAGAGTGTGCTTTTCCAGGAACTTGTGGGGGGAGGGGAAGGAGCAATAAACTCATCAACACCTTGCATGGCTCTCCACATGTTCTTTTTTTTATTTTATTTTATTTTTATTTATTTATTTATTTATGGAAAATTTTTCATGTCTGAGGTCAGCCAAATCAGTTCCAAATCCTTTGAATCATTCAAGAACCTTACGTGGCCCTACAACTGGCAAGTATCCTCTGCCCCAAAATTTTCAGCCTCGGGCTTCAGATACCTCCAAACCTTTTGGCAGGCATCTTAGGTGGAGACCCAAGCCCAGAGACCTGGGGTTCAAATGCCCCAGAGTTTTGCTTGCCTTCAGATGTATGGCCACAGGAACAAGCTAGGGAGAAATCTCCGATTTCCATAAAGTTGGGGTGTAGCCAAGATCCTCCCAATGGAAGCTGGGCCCGTGGGAAGCCAACTATGAGGCTTTCCTAGGGAGTCCTGTCTGCAAGCAGACAACGGTGCACCCTCCACTACACAGTGACATTTTAACTGCACTGCTTTTTGTCATGGTATTTCCCCTGCCAGGTAAGATATTCATGACTCAAAGGAAGGAGGACTGATCACTTAATAGAAAAAAAAGCAACTCTCTGCCCCAGTGGGGGGAGAAGGTGCGGTAGTTTAGTCAGGGCATGTGTAGATTTCTGCAAGGCTGACGTTGCTCTTTGCTAAATACATGATGGCCCCCCATCTACCCTAGCCCACCAACTTCATCTGTGATTGTTCAAGTATGAACGCTCAGAGGAAGTTAGGAGCTGCACAGTGGGCTATTCTATTTTCTCCCCGCCTTAAAGAAACCTCCTTTGGGAGACTGACAGACATCTGAATGGGGGAGGGGGGATAAGAAAGGACGGGAGAAGTTTCCCTGAACAGAAGGGTGAGGAAGGGCAAGAGGGAGCCGAAGCGGAGCGCGCTAAGCGGGAGCTGCCGATGCCGCAGGGAACAGGCTCCCTGGCCCCGGCGGGGGCAGGAGGAAGAGAACAACCGGCTTCTTTCCCGGCGCCCTCGGGACCCGCGCAGACCGGGGGGAGACGGCACGAAGGGGCTTTGCAGCCCGGCCCCGAGTGCATGCTCCCCGGCGGGTCCTCCTGCCCTTCCGGGAGGCCCGGCGCCGCGGGGAAGAGCAGGGCCGGGAGTCGCGCCTCACCTGTGGGGATGGGCGGCGGCCCCGCCTCGGCCGGGAGCGGGCCCCAGCGCTGCGAGGCGCACGC